AGAAAAGGCCAGAATTAGCAAATTGCAAAAGAATCGTGTTCCACCACGACATGGCGAGGCCTCACACATCTTTAGCAACACGTACGAAATTACTGGAGCTTGGTTGAGAAGAGATGTCGCATCCCCGATATAGCCCCGACCTTGCTTCACAGGATTATTATTTATTTTAAAGTTTACAAAAGTCTTAAATAGTAGTAAAAATTCCAGTCACAACGATGACATCAAATCTACTTGGTTGAGTTTTTTGCTGATACAGACCAGAAGTTCTACGAACGCAGAATCATGAAGTTACCAGAAAAATAGCCAAAGGCCAACAAATAGAATGGAAGTATTTGACTGATTAAAGTTCATTTTTTGTACAGAAAAAAAACTGAGTTTTATTTCAGTTTTTTTTTTTTTTTTTTTTTTTTAACGAAATTACTTTTTTGCCAACACAGCACATCAGATGACAGCATTAAAAAAAGACGTATTATAAAATATCAAAACTGATTAAACTAAATTGGTGAATTACATAACAAAAGAATGAAATATCACATTACACGTTGCGTCTCTTCATTGCCTTTGAACAAATCCTATGAAATAACACCGGTTATCAATGTCGGTTGTATTATTTCCTGATTTTTCCGGCTACGCCCCTCGGGAACAGGGGAGGAAAAGGAACGAAAAGAAACATCTGACACCACCAAATAACAAAATTTAAAAGCATATTAACTAAAAAAATTGCGAGCAGCTGCAGTTTAAAAAAACGTCACTGTAACTATGAAACTAATTTCTATGGTAGGGGGGAATACGCAGAAAGAAAAATACATTTCCGTCTGTGACTGTACAGTGATGATGACAATAGAACACCCCTTACCTATTTTTCCCTCTCTTTCTTATTTTCTCTTCTTCCCCCTTTCACATTGTGGCGGATATTAATGGGTATTTTGGAATCTTCCCTTCGTACGCTTCCTTCTGCAGATAAAGCAAGTGTGTTCGCGCTTGCTAAATTGCGTTATTAGACAAAAGACACTGTGTCAATGAGAACACAAGCCTCCGGAGATGGAAACAACAGTTGGAACCGTACAAATGTGGTAACACGAAAAACTAGCTCCTGTGTGAATTTATTGCATTAATGTGCACGCGAGTTACGAAAAAAAATAACAGACAACAGCGACGAGATAGAAGCGCCTTCCTTATTCACTCTTTCCCAGCTCTTTCATTATGAGGTAAATGAAAATTTAATCAAAATAAGATTTCGTCAAAAGTTCCGTAGACTCCCTGTAAGGTTCAGTTCCGTAATAACCTCACATTATGAATAATTCATAACTCTAACTTTTTTTTTGTTGCATAAGTTACAGCTGTGATTTACAATGAATCATACTTATATACATCATTTCTGCACTAAAACTCCATTTTATATAGAGAGTAAGTAAAATGTAATAAATACCCTGGTAGCGCAATATAATGTAATTTAAAGGGACCTCAAAATTACAAACAGTAAGCTATATATTTTCTCACGTAAAAATATTCACACTCGTAACAAGCTAATATAAAACTTTAAATTTATGATTAATTTTAAAGAGTTTTTTATAGTGCATTAATTACTGAATATTTATTCCATAAAAATATATTATTGTTTAAAAACTGGGGATTTAAAATTGCAAAAACGAAGAGGCAGAAAGCAATCAGTTATCGTGGTGCTGTTGGTGGGTATCCATCCTCTAGGACATTTTCTCAAACTAGGGTATATGATGGTATATATTTTGGTTTCTATTTATGTGGTGCAAAATAAAAAAAGTTTGAAAAACCTCAGCTCCACGAATACATTGGTTCACCTGCTAAAAACGCAATAATGTGTGTAACAAATAACAAATATTTTTAAAAGCTATTTTTCGATAAATTTGAGATGTACGAAAGTATAAATGAAGCTCATATTGAATATGCCATTTTACGTCTAGCAAAGCGTTTGTTTTCCGGTTACTAAGGTTTTAGTGCTTGTCATATTGAATTTTAATAAGAAAAATTAAGCAATATCTTCAGTCCAAATAATTTTTGTTGCGAGGGATAAAAGAGAACTGTCATCGCACAGCAGTTTCAGAGATTTATCGAACGGCAAAACTCTGAGATGAGCAAAGAAACAGAGCAAAAGGATTGCGGTTCAATTCCTGAATTAACTCATTTTTCCCACTTCGATCATTTATGTACATTATTTTAATTTTTATAGGTTATACGGTATTTTCTCCCTCCTTCCAGCATGCCTTCGTAATGTAACGGTAGCACATTCGGCGCCTATTTAAGAGATTCGGGATCTAGTTCCGGAGAGGGCACTGCACATTTTCCCCAATTCCCGCTTTTTTTTTTTTTTTTTTTTTTTTTGGTAACTAAACTTATGATTCTACAGTGGCGCCCGAACTAAAAGGTGGTGGACGATAATTCGCAACTACCAGGAATTGGCGACTCGGTCCCCTGTTTCCCAGTCACCTTTTAAAAGGAGATTTAAAAGGAGACTCAGCGCGTATTCGAGAGGTTCAGGTTCGAGTTCCGGCGCACGTTTCACGTTTCCTAGAACGTTTATTGGCGGAAAACGTTCGTTACAACCAGAAATTTTCTGGTTACATTTATTACACGAGGCATTTCTTAGGTATATCTGACTCCTTTTAAATGTTCTACGATGTGAGCACAATAATGGCCCTTTCCAGCACAAGGTGAATTTTAAAAAACTTCTTATCGAATCAGATAAAGCTGTGATGCCTTAACTGCTTCATTCCTAAATTTAGCAGACAACGACGAAAATAAATGAAATACATTATTTGATACAGTAGATCCAAACATTATCTACGGTAAGCATATAGCAATTCATTACAGCCCACGCAAAGGAAAAAAAAATAATAAATACAAAACTTCTTTTAAAAGCAGAACGAAACCCTGTACAGTTTCTTTACTTTATTTATATCCTTCGTTCAAAGTCTGTTGCTAAACCGGTAAAAACCTGTAGAAAAGATGGTTTCCAAATCTCTTGATTAATCGCTTTCCTGGGAAGCGATTAAGATATCGATTGTTTCCCGATAAAGAGTAAAGAGTAAGAGACTTGAAAAAAAAGAAAGAAAGAAAGTAGAAAATAGGAGGAAACGAAGAAAAATAAAAGGATCCCGAAGTGATTAAAAAAGGAGAATTACCGCACCCATAGTCTGCGAGGCGTCCACCAGGTTCAGGAGAGCGAAAACCTTTGGGAAAGCGCAATTTCTGTCCTGTTTAGCAGGGGCCCAGTATAATTAGCAAAAGGAAAGTGCAATTAGTTGAACTCGAGATAATTATATGCCGTGGATAATTAGGCCCAGATTACACTTAATTACCATGCAGGAAACTTTTGTTTTTCGACGCAAACGTAGCATTTCCGTCGTAATTGTATGCAAGAACGAAATTCTCCAGGGTTTGAAGTATTTTCGGTGATCTTAAATGCTTTTAAAATACTTTCGTTGAAGATTAGTTGCAAACAAACTGAAAAGAAAAAAAAATATTCTATGATGCTTTTCACGTGCATTGCATAAGATTAAATATTTCAAAAAATTTATAAATTAAACGGGACATTTATCTGAATTCTACACGGTATAAATTAAAACAGAATTAGCTCATCAGAATTATCTGCTTGGTAGTGAAGACATTCTTATAAAATGTGATTATTTTATTTCTGTCAATAATCTAATGAATATGTTTTTGATTAATCATGAGATTCACGACCATTCGGTTGGTGAAAATATCTCAGTATAAAAGTATCTAGACAAAACATATTCATCAAAACATACTTCATTGGTTGAAATAACGTGGATCTTTCTTATGCTCTTTCATTCTTAAAGTAGTATATTTTATTAGTCTGCTATTTAAGAAAGTACACAGAAAGCAATTTTTTCTTCAGTTGAACATATCGTTAAGAATAAATTAGTGCAAAAGAAGTAGAGTTATCAAAATATACGTGATAATCATTATTACAAGCAGGTAAATTATACAGTATTATAATTTATATTAACATTTTTCTTCAACAAACTAAACATTTCTGTACAAATTTCCAGTTAACCTGCACGAAATGTTTAAGATATTATGACAATAGTATTCAGGATTGATACGCGTAAATGCTGCTAATTATTAAATGAAAGATTTTAATTGATCGCAGGATTGAATGGATGAAACAAAAAACGTCATCGTATCGTTTCATTTCTGTTGCAAAGCATAATCATTGCCCACTGCCATGAGCTCTCGGCGTATTTTCTTTTGGTATTGCTAAACTACATATTATCATTAAAATCTCCTTTCCTATGGTAAGAATAATACACTTTACCACTCGCAAGCCATACATCAAAGATGTCAACGGATCTCGCACCGGCATCTCCGTTTCTATAAGTTTTAGTTTAGGTTGATTCGTTTGACCATGGCAAAGTCCTCGAGGGCTATCTACCTGAGGGATGCCTTAGTGAAGAACTTTCTAAGGTAAACACATGGGAAAAACCACGAAAAAGCCCATGCAGTTAGCCTGTTCACCGAAATTTGAACTCGGGACCGAATTACCACTATTCAATGACTTTACTCGTCGGCCGCTGGTGAGTCTCGGTTTTTATACCAGTCAGCAAGTTTCATCACAAAAATGAGAACATGTGAACAGCATCAGCGACAGCTAAAAAAAATATCGTCTTTTGACACATTTTTATTTCCTGACTGCTACATAATACCTCTATATAATCTTAAAATAAAATTAACACTTAAAAGCGTTAAGATAAGCGCTTGTACAGTTCATTCTATCGAAGAACTTGGAGTTCATTCTGTCAGTTGCTTTCGGAGAAGCAATATATACGGATGAGTAGCGGTAGCGAATCATATTGCATAAGCAATTAACAACGCAGTACGCCCCCTTAAGTAATGAAAATTATAAGTATTCCTTAATTTCTGCCTAGGCAGTAGTAAACATTTGCTTAAGGACTAAAAGTAGTTACTGACATCAACTGCGGTCCTTTGGAGATTTAACACACCTTGATCATGGTTCACAGAAAAACAGGAAATTCCAAAGGGCTGGGCTGTCAAGCTTCTCTACCTGTCCACAATTGTGCATGGTGGAAAGTTTTTTTTTTTTCTTCCGAAAGTTGATTACGCAAACCTAATGTTTTCCTAAAATAAAAAGAAAACGCTAATTTAAGAATCAAATACTGAATGTTGTTCAAGAGTATGCAAAAATAACGAAATCAACGCAAAGCTAACAATCATTTACTATAAGAGCCGAAAAACAGTCATTCCACAAAAGGAAAGACCAATAAAGATCGATAAAATTCGCATAATCGGTTACTCGAATAAAGCGAAAACAATAGCGTTTCAAATAACTAAGTTAACTGATTACCGCGCATACCGCTTTCTTATAAGACCAGTGGTAACTTCCGGTTTCTGAATTCATTTTCGGCGAATAGGCTGCTCGCTCGAAAACGGTTATCTTTGTAAGTAATACACCTATTTTCCTAATTGTTTCTCTTAGAAAACCTTCTCGAAAGCATTCCGCCAAGAAGGAGAGTCCGTGCGTGCTAATAAATTAATCCACCAACTTGGCTTGACTTTCCTAAGATTCGCAAGGAAACCTATTAATTTTATGACATTAAACTGTATGTTAAGTCTTATTAAAACTAGCTCTGTATATCCGTAGGAAAGGAATACTTTTGAATTAAGTGTAACACACACACACAAAAAAAAAAAAAAAAAAAAAAAAAAAAAACGAAATATTGAATTACTTCATATTTGTCGATTCCTTTATTATTGGGTTGTTTTTTTAACGCATAAAATTATGTTCCATTCCTTAAATATATCTGTTTCAGATTGCAATTATACTATAATTCCCTTAAGTTATCGTTTTGGCTGCGAAACGATCATCGTAATTGATATGCACTTGTTATATTCACGTAAATATTTTGCTGGCTTTTTGTCCTTCTTAAAAAAAATTTTAAAAAAATTAAAAAAGAAACAAGAAAACTGCCATAAAATTTGCCTTAATAACGATATTTTAAATACTCTCAGAATTCTTTGCAAAATTGTCTTAATATACTAAAAATTATGTTAGAAATGTGCCTTAAAAACAATTTCAAATGCTTCATATGATCATGTTCAAAATTCATGTTTATACGAGCTGTAGCATAATTTTTGTGCTCAGCTGCTATTTATTTGCTTGATACATGGATAAGCCCACCAGGGACCGAGCGGTAAAGTCCTTGAACACTCTGTCCGAAGTTCGAATCCCGCGAACGGGCTGGCTGCATGGGCATTTCGTGTTTTTCCCCATTAGCAACGTGTATAGGAGCCAGTTTCTCTTAGAAAGTCCTTCTTAGAAGTCATCCCTTCCCTAAGGCAAATGGCCCTCGAAGCTTTCTCATAAACCATCTCATAAACCAAACCAAACTTATACATTGATATGGGCTGAAGATGAATACAGAAAGTATTCGATCAGCTTTTAAATATAGATCACGAATACAGATACAGCTGTTGCTCATGATCAACTCTTAAATATGAATTATTTGCCTTTACCGGCAACAGCGCATTTTATTTTCCTTCAAATTTTTAACGAAGTTCAAATATTCGCAGTTTTTATTTTTGAACCGGTAAGCTGAACATCTTACCTATCCTTTTTTCCCAAGAGCATCGAACTAACACTTTCTTTTTAACTAACAATGCAATGACCAGACATTAGAGCTGGCAATCCAACCACTCATGGCTTCTCATCTTTCATCAAACATGCAATTCTCATCAGGAGGTGCGAATGTATAAAATACCAGCCGGCGGCGGACAAACAAAATGAACGAAATTTTTATGCCTTTTTTGGCCGATCCCGAAGAGCCACGCCTTGATGCGAGTGTCCGCCCGGCGTCAATTAAACACTCCCTATAATTAGTGCATAATCAACATCCTGTTTTTGAGAACTCTTTACCCTGGCTACTCGACGGCAATAAATAGCTCTACAGCGAGTATATCCTCCCTATTTTCTGTATCCCCCCTGCTGCTTCCAAGAATGGATTTCTTATCGTGTCGCGGGCAACTTCTATTAAAAGCTTCCCAATAGATTAGGTTTCGACGAATGCGAGAGGGTGTCTGATTTTGTGGGGGCTGAAGAGACTCAGATAAGATTTTAAAAATCATGTTCTTAAATATATATCACCTATCTACTGAATTTGGTCTGAAGAACAAGCAAAAGTAATTTATATTGAAAATGACTTCGAAACCGAAAATGACCGATTATATTAAGAACATAAAATGATACCTAAAAATAGATAAATCTGAAAGCAGCTCAGATACTGTTCGAAAACTTAAAAATATCTTAAGAAATTTAAAAAAAAAAAAGGAAAGAAGAAGAAAGAAAGAAAAGAAAAAGAAAATACATCGAAAAGAATATCCACCTTCTTTTCCCATATAATTCAAAAAAGATAAGAAGGTTTTTTTTTTTTTTTTTTTTTTTTTTTTTTTTTTTTCCAAATAAAAATCCTTTTTTCCGTAACTAAAAACGGCAATTTTTTAAATCGAACATTGCCATTGAAATCAGATTTTAACTGAACATATAATATATTAATTTCCCATATAAAGGAACTGGATATGATATGAGTACATGGAATAATCATGATCCAACGATACTCTTGTATGAAAAAAAAAAATCATTCCAAAGAGCATTATAAAAATGTTAAATTATTTGGATTAAATCAAAAACTATAAGGAAAACTATATTCTACGTGAAGGTCGATACTACTACTACAATTTTTAGTCTCACTGCTACTATTTATAATAATAATTTAAATTGTTATCTAAAATTTCCAGATTCGAGACATTAAACTGTAACCTGAAATTTTCAAATTACAATCCAATACCTCGAAAAGTTTAAACATTAAATTTTAAAAAAGTTTCAATAAAATTTTTAATATACAAAAATTACACATATTTTAAAAACTGCAATTACGCAAATTTCTTTTAATTCATAATTTATATTTATATTTTTTTAAATTTCAATTCGAAACTTCGAATAAAGTATAACAAAGTATTCGAATTCAAATACTAGTTTAAATTTAAAACATAAAACAATTTTAAGCTAAGTTGTTTAATAATTAACCCCCTCAGGAGTGGTTATTTTTTTTACTTCTTAATTGTTTCAGTAACTTGATGAAAAATCAGTGTAAGAGAAGAGGAATGTAATTAAATATGACTTCAACTATCAGCAAACACTGTTTATATGTATAAACTGATTTACTTAAATACATAGTGAAGATGGAAAAAAAATTTTTTTTTTTTCACCATTAAACTGGTATGCTTCTTCAAAAATTAAAATTATTTCTGATAAGACAGGAACAGAAAGAGATAGGGGGTAATGAAAGTGATAAAGTTTCTGACTGTAGCATTATTGAAGCACTGGAACAAACCTTAAACTATTAAAGTAATTAAAATACATCTAAATTAATCTAAAATGCAATTTAAAAACGAGAAAAATGGTTATAAGAAGACAAGAAATCACATATACTGCTGAATAGTTTTAAATAAAATGTTTTATGTCTATTCAAATTTAAAATTTTGCTTTTTGAAAAAAATGAATAAAACCACAAATTAATATTATTAATATTGATTATAAGTGTTTTAGAAAATATATTAAAATTAATTCATGTATTAAAATTGTTTTGCTCTTGCTTTAAAAACAAAAATAGGTAAAGGAAAATTCTACTTCCACCATTTTAGGATTTTTTTGCAATATTTCTGGCCAGATAAGGTCTTAAACAAAATCTTTTAATTTATGTTTATATCAACCAATTGAATAACACTAGGTTTCATTTAATAGAAACACGGATGTGTTTTACAAAAAAGTGAGAAGAAAAAATATTATTGGAAGTAAAAATAAGATTGAGATCATATTTTTTTTTACATAAAATGTCCTTTTTAATTTTTTCTCAGAAACTAGTTTATTAATTTCAAAATCAGTCCTTAAAGTTATTGAGAACACTCTAATACATATAATAAAAAATTGGGGGCGAAAACATTGAAAATTGTAGGAGAAAAAGACATTTTAACTGTTTTAAATTTAAGTTTTAAGAAAATGAATGATAAAAAAATTTTTCAGCTTTTCTTCAAATCATTTTGTCTTACAAAACCACTTAACAACGTTCATAAAAAGTAGATGAAAGTTCTTAAGTGGGAAAAAAAAAAAAAAAAAAAAAAAAAAAAAAAAAATCATTCAAAAGGTGCAGAGTTCCCTTACCGAAAACAATAAATTCTCTTCCACGCGTTCCAAAACGAAAGGGAAAGTAAAGTATTAGATTATTCCAAAAGATTACTTTTATTTCTAAATCTTAACATGAATGTGACACGAAACATACATAAATTCTGGGATCATTAATAAACGCGCGAAAATTACATTATGAAAAGGATCTGACTCTTAAAAGCATATTCTCCCCCCCCCCAAGAAAAATATAGAATTACATTAAATAGATTGTGGAGCAAAGAATTTTTCTGCCTGCATTAGCAAACAAGGTAATATACAGGTCACACTGAAAGAAACGGATGTTATTTAGAAGTTCAAAGTCGAGAAGATATTAGACTAAATAAGCAGACCGATTTGACTTCATCAGCATGTCTTCAGTTTCGTCATTTCTTCATTTGACGACTGAAATTCCAATATTAATTTTAATAAAATAAATAAATCAATTCCTTAATTCAAGTAATGCAATTGGAAATTTACTGTAAAAAATCTGATGTGTACACCACATGACTTCCTTGTATGGAATATTAAATTATAAGCATTTTTTCTTGCATTTCATTTAAACTTATTGGATTGAATTAAATCTACTTCGCTGACAGCGCATAAACCACAATAGAATAAATGCATTCTTTAAAATTCACTCTAGATTTGTTTACCATAGCGACTCTCTGGCGCTAGATTCACTTAACAGTATTAATAATTATATAACAGTTAACTTATATAATAATTATATAAAGGAAACTAAGTTAACTGTTACATAATCCAATAATTACATAACAGTTAACTTATATATTTCGTTCATATTATAACTCATAATGCACAAAATTTATATCATTTAAAGAATAGAATTATTTAATCGTTGCCACATGTTCTATTCAAATATTATAATAAAGCTAAAATGATG